CAACATAATTTCATGTCACACATATGTTTAAAATATATCAGTAGCTTCCCACAAAAGATAAGGTAAAGACCAAAATCTTTAATGTGGTTTAAATAGCCAATGTTGGGCCACTCCCCATACTGGCTGCCTCTTAACTCCAAATCTTCCCACTTTAGAACTTTCATATATGCTGTTCCTTCTGCCTGTATTACTGTTCATTTTGGCTCTTTCTTTCCCTTTATGGTCAAACCTCTTTGAAATGTTATTTATATTTCACTGTCTCTGCTCCCTGTTAAGTCAACCCACTGCACAAAGGCTTCTGCTCTTATCTTGCCCCAAAACTGCCCAGGAAAATGTTGTCTGTGGCATCTGTTGCTGAAGCAATGAACCTGTTTCTATCCTTCTCTGACTTGACCTTTCTGCCATCTGACACTGCTAACCACTTTCTGCAAAGCTTTCTCTGTCTTGGGCTCCCCTGACTTTGCTCTCTTGGTTCTCTTCAGCTTTCTGTGGCTAATTCTTTTTTTTCCCTTCATTTGCCTCTCTTTCAATATCAGCCCTATAGGTTGAGGAGCAGATTTGAAATGGTGGAAGACAGGATCAGTGGAATTGAAGACAAACACTTGGATACAACTCTGTTCAAGGAAAACTCAGAAAAAGAATGAAGAAAAATGAAGAGACCCTGAGAATTATGTGGGATACAATCAAAACCAAAAATTTACGAGTGATCAGAGTTCTAGAACAGGTGGAGAAAACAGAAAACACAGAGAAGATCATTGAAGAACTGCTGATAGAAAACTTTCCCAATATCATGAAGGATGAAAATCTGGCCATCCAAGAAGCTCAACGAACCTCATATAGGATAGACCCCAAAAGAAAATCACCAAGGCATATCATAATCAAATTCGCCAAAATCAAAGACAAACGAAGAATCCTGAGAGCAGCTCGTGAAAAACAAGAAGTCACACACAGAGGAGAAACAATAAGACTAAGCTCAGATTATTCAACAGAAACCTTGCAGGCAAGAAGGCAATGGGATGACATATATAAAACCTTGAAAGAAAAATATTGCCAGCCAAGAATAATATATCCTGCAAAACTCTCATTCAAATATGATGGTGAAATTAGGTCATTTCCAGATAAACAGAAATTAAGGGAATATGTAAAAACCAAACCAAACTTACAAGAATTATTAAAAGGAGTCCTTCAATCTGAGAACAAACAACTTCAGCCCACAGGCTGAATCTAGGATGCAGGATCGTACCAGCCAGATACCAATCTAGGAAATGAACTCTCAAGGGCTATCCAAAACCAAAAGAAATACAACAGGGAATCAGAGCAGTTAATCTGTAAATGACAACAACATCAGAACAATAAAAGAAGGAATGAACGGTGTAGGCATAGAACCTTCTAATGGAGAGGAAGGCAAGGTGATATCAATATCAGACCTATGGAAGTTGATTCCCCCAGGTTTCTAACTGGAACTCCTTTTCTCTTCCCTACTTATTCTTCCTGGATGATCCTATTGATTTGTATGGCATCCATTAGATAATATCTCTAGGTCCTTTTTCACTCCAGAGCCCCAGACTCATGCTCCGCCATGGGAATGTTTCATAAACACTTCAAATACATGCATGTAAAGCTAAAATCTCACATACACTTTTCCTATCTCTGTATCTCAATGAACGGCACTAGCACTCATTCAGCCGCTCTAGTAAAAACTTGAGTCATCCTTGTCTCTTTCTTTTTTCTGCCTCCCTACATCTAGTTAAAGGAGCCCTGGTGATGCAATGTTAAACACTCAGCTACTAACTGAAAGGTTGGTGGTTCAAACCTACCCAGCGGCTCTGTGGAAGAAAAGACCTGACAATCTGCTCCCATAAAGATGACAGCCTAGAAAATCCTTTGGGGCAGTTCTACTCTGACCTATGGGGTCGCTATAAGTCAGAATCGACTCAAGGGCACATAACAACAACAATACGTCTCATTAATTATCAAATTCTTTTGACTCTGCCTCCTTAGACACACTCAAACTTGTTGACTTAACTCTGCTCCAACTACTACTGGCTTAGTTCAAGCTCTTGTCATTTCCTTCCTGCATTATTGCCAGAGCTCCCTAACCCATATCCCTCTTACCAGTCTTTCCTCTCTCTAATCCTTCTTTGCACTGCTGTCAGAGTTTAGGGGAAACAGTTCATCAAGCAATTTTCCAGAGAACTAGTGTTCCAACTTGTATAAGAAAGGTTTCTTAGGCAAATAAGAAATGGCTTACTTAAGAAAACATCATTTCTTTGACCCTTTCTTAGCAATTCGCCAGACATAGCAGCAAATTCAAGGCTCTGAGAAGTCCTGCAGCAAAAGAATGTGTTCAAAATTGTTCAACCAAACATTTTCTAAAACTCCTTTGACCATAAAACTCCTTCTCCATGGCATAATTTTAACATCTTGCAAAATACTCTATGTTGTTTTAAAACACAAATCTGATCACCTTACTTCTCTATTGAAAAATAAGATAAGTGGATAAAAAAAGACAATTTGCACTTTATTCTATGGGCAACTAGAGATCCTTGGAGACTCCTGATCAGGGTAGCGACCTAAAACTACACAATCAATAGCTGCTAGTTAGTGAGCCCCTACTATGTGCCAGATGCTTCACATCTATTATTGCTAATGTTTACAACAACACAATCCCCAAGTGAGAAGACAAACACCCAGGTTGGCTAAGCGTTGGGTCCTTGGCCATACAACCAGTGACAGTGAAGCAGCATTTGGTTCTGAAGTCTAGATGGCTTTAAAACCCATTGCTGTGAGTCGATTCTGATCTATAGCGACTCTGCAGGACAGAGTAGAACTGCCCCACAGGGCTTCCAAGGTTGTAATCTTTGAGGAAACAGACTGCCACATCTGTCTCCCGTGGAGCAGCTGGTGGGTTCAAACCGCCAACCAGAGCTCCTTGATGGCTTTAAAACTACAGCTTTTTGCAATAATCAGGTGATATTTTGTACTTCTGAGAGACTGGAGGCAGGAAAATTGAAATATTTGGACATAAATTCTGAGAAGACAGGTACCTCTTTCATCTTTGGTCTTCTCCACCTCAGGCCCCATACCCTTCTAGATAATGCCTCAATTACTAGTAGCCATTCTTTTTAACCTTGGGTCTCATTGCCTCTTCTATAGGCCCACGTAACTTTTCCCTCCTTAAACTACCCAGCAGGACATCATAGAGCTCCAGGAAAGCCTCTCCCTTGCTTAAAAATTATGTATTTCTTCCTAGTGCCTGCTCAAGTCCAAATTTCTCAGCCTGATATTCTAGGCTTTCCATTACCTGCCATTAACTTTCCCTTCCATTCTTGACTTTAGATACTTTTCTAAGTCTAACTCATGCTCCAGGCAAACTGAACTACTCAGTGTTTACCAGCCTTCCTGCCTTTGTTCATGTTGTTTCCTCTACTTAGGAAGCCCACTCCTCCCCAGTGCTGCGCCTTTAGATCCTACCTGTCCTTCAGAGCCCCTTTCCACTACCAACTCCATGTACCATGTCCTAACCTGAGCCAACCAGATGCTCTGTTATTTAGCACAAAAGGGCAGTGAGGTGAGGTGCCCCCAAGCTTGTTAATCATCTTCTGAAAATTACACTAATAAAAACTTGCAATAGATGGCATCAGTTATCTTAAAAAAATGACATACCCAAAGGAAGAGTCAATAATTGGACAGTTAAGTGGACAGGAGATAAGAAAACATCCTTCTGGAACAAGGTGGCCAAGGCTTACTTTCAGAACACAAGTGTGTGTACATAACAGAAACCTTAAGATGAGCAAACAAAGCCCTAATCAGATCAGTCACAGGAAACAGAGGCAGTCAACCTAACTATAATCAATTGTAATAACTGGCCAAGACAATGACCTAACCAATTACATTCTGCTCTGTGTATAGAAGCACAGTTGCACCAAAATAGAAGGAAGGTAGCCAAGGTGACGCGACTTAGTCTGCTGCCAACACCGCCTAGAGGTGACAGTCGCTGAGTTTGGGGGACACTGACTTTTTGGATACAGGAAGGGCTGGCCATGAGACAGAGATATTTCATCAAGCTTTCTCAGACTTGGTTAGTTTTCCCAAAAGTCTCCTGCTTCCTTTTCTTTAATTACAAACCCACAAAATAATCTTCTGTGAACCAATCTGGCTTTCCCTTACATAATCAGAAAGGAATATTCTGGGCGGTGGAAAGGGACATTCCCATTGTATCTACTCCATGGGGTTGCTGGAAGGATTCAATGAGATAATGTGTGCAGCGATTGACCCAGGCTGGCACATGGTGATTATTCATAAATGTAGGTGATGAAAATCAATTAGCATATTGAAACTCTGCTTTCAATGACAATTTCTTATAAATTTAGTTATGGTGGATTGACTTCCTACTATCTATATTGCTTAATAAAGATGGATACCTGGACCTGCAAAACAGATTCCATGACCCTGGGTGGTAATGAACCAACTGAGGTTCTGACTCAGGAAAGGCCTGGCAACCACCTGCTTATCCTGAGGCATCTCAATCTTATCTTCACTCTCTAAAAGCCCCATCAGCTGCATTCTCCAGACATCCAGGATGCATCTTACACCGATTTTGTTCTGTTTTTGATGCAATTACTGGTGTACCTCTCTAATTCCAATCTCATCAGAGTGTAAACTGTTTGAGGGTGCAGGCTTTTAACTCCCTTGCAGAGCCTCAAATATCATAAATTCTTAATGAGTTGAAATGAGTTGGATCAAAGACCGAGTAAATGACCTAGGGGTATAAATGAAGGCTACAAAATTTGCCTCGCTGGCTACTAGGGTGTGAGATGCAGACTCCCGGAGATGAGGCAGGGTGATACGAGCTAGGAACATCTGTCCTGATGCCATCCCAACTCCCCATCCCAGCAGGTGGCTACAGGTAAACCAGCCAGGCTGAAGGAAGACTGCTCAGTTGCCCAGAAGGAAGAGGGAGAGACAAACGGACGGAGTTTAAGTGCTTCCACACTTACCCGGATCTCCGTCTGTATGGTGCATTTGACCAGTTTGAAGTTCTTCCCGGGATTGAAGCTGTTGCTATAGAAGCAGACCTTGAGGATCCGCACGTCTTCCTTTTCCACATCTATGGGCACCACCACCATGGGCTCTGGGGGACCTTCGGGCCGGCACAATGTGCCCACCTTCACTCGGCTCAGGGGCTCGGACAGCCCAGACATCCTCTCAGACAGCAGCTAAGACCAGCACATCGTTGTAGAGTCCTGTGGAGACAGCAGAAGCACAGCCCTGAGATGAATCTCCCTGTAGGCTCACATGCCTCATCCCCAAGGGGCATCACCCACCAAGCTCTGAGACCTACACAAACTACACATTCTCGTGTTTCTGAAAACACCCCTTATAGGCTTCCTGGTTTATTGACTGGGAAGCTGACGCATAAAGCAATCAGTCTGTATAAACACCTAGGTATAGAATCAGGATTTCGTGCTGCCAGGCTTGCCATCTCTCTTCTAGAAGCCACCTCTTTCCATCACATTTACCCTCCCACACTGTGCTCCTGGGCAAGGGGCCCACACTTAGCAAAAGCAGCTGTGAGAGGAGGCGGTTGCAGCATGGTTCCAAGGCACAGCTGAGCAGAAAAAAACGGAGAGTGAGACAGTAGAAAATAGCAGGAAAGAAATAGGAACAAGGGGGGAAAGCCAAGAAAGAAACAGATTTTGAGAATGGTTGGCCCTGAGGGAACTGGAATGGAGAGGCAGAAAAGGATGCAGGTAGGGGGCCAAGCTATCTGCTGATGTCTTTGTCTGCCCCCACCCTCAGTTTCTGGCTGGAACTTTATGAACTTTACAGTAGGAGGCCACTGTCCCACAGGAACTCATCGTATAGAATGCCACTCATTACCCACAGCTGAACTCAAAAGGAAGAGTGCCTTGCTCCCAGAAGCCCACTTTGGGAGGTCATTCTGCAGGGTGGGAGCTGGCTGGACTGGGCTAGAAGACCTACTCCAGTTTTGGTGATAGCCTGTTATGATACAGAAATGTACAGATACGTATTATGAAGACTTGAAAGAGATGTTATAAGGACAAGGGAAGGCGTAGGGCATATCTATTAGGTTAGAGACAGGCAGACAATGGCACAGCACCAGGCTTTAAGGGCAGCCAGAACTTGGGACAAGGCAGATGGAGAAAAGACTCTCCAATCTGCTTTATTAGATAGAAAGATAGACAGATAAATAGACAGATAGATAGATATGGGGTAGCCATGAGTCAGAATTAACTCAATGGCAGCAGGTTTGGTGTTGGTTTTAGACAGAGAGATAGAGATTATAGATATATAAACTCTCTCTCTCACTCTATCCTAGAAGTATCCATGCCATTCTTCCAACAAACATCTACTGAACATGTCCTTTGTGCCAATACTCTGTTATATACGGAGGATGTTTCTCAGTCTCCTCTGACCCTCTATGAGGAATTCAGAAAAAGTTGTTTATTTGAGAGGTAACCCCAGGAAATACCACTAGGGAAGTGGGAATTGCGTGACAGGGGAGGGAAAATAACCAAAAATAAAGAGGGGCTATCAGCCGCTCCTTGGAAACTCTATGGGGCTGTTCTTCTCTGTCCTATAGGGTTGCTATGAGTCAGAATCGACTCGATGGCAGTGGGTTTTTTTGGTATCAACTGAGTTACCACTTGCAACTTAGGGAAGAATGCATTCCTTAGAGTTACCCTACACAAGGAATGAGGGATCTAGGGTACTTTTACACCAACTTCTTATGTTATTGGTGAGGGTTGCTGGGGTGAGGGGAGGCATTCATGTCCCAGCATTTCCAGCCAGCTCAGCACAAGGGCAGAGCAGACTGAGAGCCACAGAAAGCCCTCAGACACAAAGATGCAGATGCTGGCCATTGGAAGGAGGCAGGAGGATACTGAAATGGCAAGGCCTAAGGGGACACTGACAGCTCCTGCTACAGGATGTGAAGATGAGAGAAGAGTGCCTTGTCCCTGAAGAGCAAACGCTCTAGTGGGAGAGACCAACAGGCAAGTACGTATTGTAAATAAATACCCACACACATAGCTGGTCTCAGAGGAGTCTGACCTGAGATCCAGTATCTGGCTATGTCTGTTGAAACAGTGGCCCCATGGCACCCAGACATCTAATTTGTAGGCAGGGAACTTCATGAGGAAGCTTTGTGAAGAGGTATCCTGGATAGGAATGAAAAAGACTGATGTATGGTGTCTGTTCCCAGGGACTAGATCCTACTAATGGAAGCCAAAGGACCTGCATTCACAAAGTCCATTTTGAAACCCACAGCACAAGCAGTACTACCATGTCACCTGGTGGGAAAGTGGACTTAGAGTTGGCAAGAAGTGCATTAGACCCATGTCTGTAGTAACACCATAGGGTTCCTGTGCATCAATAGCAAAAGGGATGATCTGCTATATGCAGCCTTGGGGGTACCTGGAGGCTCCCCACTGAGGGTCAGGCAGCCTTCTCATCCAAAGGAAGCTGGCACTCATGAACACAGATGTGATATCTTAGGGGCTCCCTAAAATGTCCTGGGAAGAGTTTGAGAGAAAATAGCTAAATAGGAATAATATGTCAGTCAAATGCAAGAGATATGACTGGTGAGAGGTGGGGACACTCCATTTTCACCGATTATGTGTGTCACTGGCTGAAGAGAAGAGTGAGAGAAGATAAGGTCTCTCTGAATGGCAGACCACAGGGGCAGAGACTGAGCAGATGAGTTAAGCCTGAGCCTAGGACAGAGGCCAGGGTAAAGTTGGGCAGGGACGGGGAAGGGGACTGGATCTTCGCGGCATGTTTAATCCTGCGCTGCTACATTCAGTGATGCAATGAAATGTGGTGCTTTTAAACCTGAGGAGCCAAAAGAATGTAAGAATGTAACGATGAGAACCTACAACGTGATAGTGACCCCTGTCACCCAGCCTGACTAGGCAGTGTCTAGCCTGCTCTGGAGCCAGCCCCCATTCTGGCCCTGACCAAAGGGAAATATTCAGACTCTGCATCTGACCAAGTGCAGTGCAGCCACTCTGACTGACAGATGCTGGCATCACCAACATGCCTGAAAGCCACTGGTTTCTTATTGTGATTGGCTTTTCCTAGCCCTTGGTTGAGGAGTCATCAATCATAGTGGCCATTATGGTTCAGCTAGAAATATCTTAGCAAAACCATCTCAGTCACCTGGAATCTACCTTTATTTTCAGCCTGATACAAGTCCCTCAGCCCTTCACTGTTAAAGTAGTAATCTCTGATCAAGTTATTTATTCAGAAAATAACCACAATGTAAAAACTTAAAAATAACACATAAGTGATTTACATACAGTCCTGGAGGTGGACAGGGGAAACCCACTGAAGGAAGTTAAGCCATTTAGACAAGGATTCATGCCTGTAAAGTGGTAAACTCAGATCCCAAACTAGATTTCAATCCTAATTCAATGTTTTTTCCATTTCACCAGCTGCTTTTGAAGAAGGTGGTATCTCCTGGAGGACAATACAAACTCTGCAAGAACAAATGTGTCAGCCCAGTGTTGAGTATCCCCAGTCCATGAAGAATCCTGAGCCCTTCCTGGCCTAGTGAGTGTGACCTCCCTCCCAAGTTAGGACTTTGTCTTGAGAGGTCCTGCAGGAACTCAGGACTAGAAATCAGGTGTTTGTTAAAGGTCCCCAGGCCCAGAAGGTGGTGCCCCCATCTCTACTGATACATAGCAACTTTCTCAAGACCATCCACAACTCCAGTCTGCTATAGAGATCTGCAATGAACTGCCAAGGGATCCCGCAAACTCTCCAAAACAAAGTAACTGAAAGGTGTGATATATAGAAGACCTCAGCTACCTGTTTCCATGGTCTTGGAGAACATATCCCTCAATCCACCCACCTACTTCTCTCACAGTCACTCTGCCTGTGTTCTGGTCCCAGCTCTTCCTCAGAGAAGTGGTGTGAAGATGAAGTGAGAAAACATAAGTGAAAGTTCATCATAAGCAATAAAGCGGGACGGAAGAAGTCTTTATCATCATTGTTATTACTTGCCTATTTTTCCAAATCTTGACTAACTACCTTATATTCCTGATATCTTGTTCTTCCTGCCAGCGGCTCACCAGGAAAAAATAAAATAAAAAACAAAAAGCGTCCTGATCTGCAGCATTTGCCTATTTCCATAGTGTAAATATCCCCACCATGACTGATTTCAAGCTACCAGTGTACATCACTGAATGCAGAGTTGGGAAGAGATGAGAACAGTCTGCTCCTGTTCCTAACAACAGAACTTACCTGTTCCTCTAAATTTTGCCTGATTACTTGATTCTCATCAATAGCCTATCTCTGGTTTCTGATGACCCCTAAATCCTCTGACCCTCTACTTGTGAGCCAAAAACTGTGCCCCTTTCTCCAATCTAGTTCTCCTTCCTGGCTTGCCCAGCCCTGGTATTCCCTCCTTCCTGCACTCTGGCCTGCCCCAGGCTCTCTGAGCAGTGTTACAGGAGAGAAAGCTCCTGCAGTACTAGTATAACCTTGGCTCTGAGCCATCTTGGGCTCCAGCTTGCCTCCCAAACCCCAGATCTGCTGAAGTCAACATCAAAGAATAACAAATACAAGGAAATGGGCTCATATTAAAACAGGAAAGGTTTTGATTGGCTCTAAGAACTTCTTGGCCAAAACCTAGGAAGGGTCCTAGGGGAGGCTGTGCAGTCTCTGAGTTTCTGAGAATCTTCAGGAAGAAGAAAAACTGCAGTCCTTCCTGGATGGCAAGACATCTACCTGCCTGAAGGAGGAGAACTGAGGTCCTCCAGGCTGTCACTGGATCTAGTGTTGTGTTCCTAGCATGGGGAGGATGACAGGGTTACGATATATATCATAAAACCCACAATTTTTCCCTTGAAGATGTGTCAGTGTAATGTTACCTCTTTACTGAGCACATAGTATATGTCAGCAATTTACACAAGTAATCTCTGAGTTCCCAGAAAAATTCTGCAGGCTAGCTAATGTTAACCTCATACTACAAGAGAGCAAACTGAGGCCTAGAGACAGGAACTTGTCAAGATCACAGTACTGCTAAACAGCAGGTCTTTGGGGCCACCATGTTGCATGATTCCAGAGCACCCTGTGAGTAATGCCCCCAGAGTTGTGTAACGTGGCAGCCCCAGGACATGTGTTTTCAACCCAGGTTTGAATGACTCAGATACATGTACCCTCTCCCTTACATTATACTGCCTTTCTGACTAATGGTCCCTGACTTAGGCTGGGTTCT